AAAAAAAAAAAAAAACGATGAACTGATAACTCACGGGCTTCAAAGGTCGTTTCAGGCGCACATGTGTAGCGAATGCATCTCTTAGCGTGAATGCAAGTTCACCAAGTTTTGCTCTGCAAAAAAATAGCTGTTATTTTTTCACTCTGAAGACATTGAAATTTAAATTTTCTGGGCGGAAGACAATAAGGCAAACATAAAAATTACAGAGAGTGAAGTGTAGAGTGGTGATATTTCTTACCTATCATCACCTCGGTGCCTATGTTTGTTCGATTTCTCGTATATGGCGTCAAATCCAGATCGAATCCAGAATGATTCGCAACGTGGTGCATGCGATACCTTAAATTACTTCATTCGCCTGACTAATTTTGATAAACAAATACCGTTTTGGCTCCAGTAAACCAAGCAACAACCTTTACTTCTTATCACTGAGAAGTGGTTAACCGTAAATCAAAAGTCATGTCTTTTATCATTTGTAAAATCTGAGATTATGAAAAATTTGAGGCAGGCTGCCCAGAAAAAAAATCTAGTAATTCAAAAAAGTACTAACTCTTTGTTCAGCTAAAGCAGTATGGACACGGCTCTGCACGCCATGCTCCAGTAACAAATCGAGTAAACTTCGCAAAATTCCATTAACCCTTTCTTCCTCACTTTCAACATTCGTTGATAGTAAATGTAACCTCAACATTTCTCCCAAGCGCTGCTGAAATGTAATGAAATCTCGCAAACCGCTAAATTTCCTCGAAATGCCAGTACAAACCCTACATGATACCAATATTTACCAAAACAACAACTAAATCTATAACAGACATTCTTGCTCCCATAAAGACGTCCCTGAACTATACCAAGCCAAATTTGCTGGGTACTCAAGATGCTTGCAGATGTTCATGCTTAGTGTTGTTTCATGGTAGCACTAGTGTAGCTGGTAACTTCTCAACTTATCGCCACTTTAGACCTCTTACACAAATTCCTTTATATTTTTTATTCGTCTGTTTTGAAAAGTCCTCCGACTACTCGGTGAAGCAAGGTGCTACATTACAAAAGATCAAACAAACGTACAGCTAACACTGAACAATATACGGAAATCACTGCTTTCGATAACTGCATAAAAGTAATAATTGCTGTCCGAAGCATGAAATATGGCGAAATTTACTCCTCTTTACTAGCACACTTTGAAATGTTTTACTAAGAATCACCCATTTACAGAGAGATGAGATTGTCCTAATCACAGAAAATCTATAATTTTTACAGGACTGCTACACGAGCATATCAGCAATGCCAAAGAAATTGGGCTCCAAATTCAAGAACTAACCCAATGAATGTAAAACGTATAGAAATTTAGCATGAAATTTAAAAGTCAGCCTGCTACGCTCGTGAAAAATTGCGCCATTCAAGCTAGGAATGGAAATAAGCGGAAGAGAAAATTAGAATATAAACAATAAATTGTGTAATTAAGTAAAATACTGAAATACCTTAAAATCTCTCGAAAATGGTAGAGCGGGCTCATTGTACCACTGGCTCAATCCCTCTATGCATCTGGTTTTGGTGATGTACTGGTAAAAATTTAATGGATCAAAATAGTTCGGGACGGATTCCACTCGCCACGCTTTTCGCGTTTTCAAGAGCCGTGCCTGCCATGGCCTGAAATGAAGAGGAAAAATTTGTGTAGCACTTAACAACATCTTACAAAAAACCCCTCAAGCAAGAAGACAAATATTTATTGTAGCATGACCTTCTTATCGTTAGCTATACAAATGCACTAAGCTGCATAACTATGAGTAAAAAAAGCCATGTGCCTGCCCCTGGTATGGCTCCAGATATTTCTGCACCGAGGGTTCACTGAGGAAATTCCTGTACGCAAAGTTTCTAGTTAATTCATTCGATTATCAAATCACCTCGCTGCTGAAAAAAACTTTTC